ATCTCGTTTTGGGCCCATTCGACGAATCTACGCCTTGCTTGATGATCGTTTGGCTTCAATTCTTGCACGATTTGGATTTTGTAAGCACGCAAACCAAGATCCTTACGCAAAATCTTCCATAAAGTGGATGGACACAGATCCAATTCCTGTGCTCGATGGCGGATGGACTCATTCGGATCTTCCTCAATGCTACGCTCTACAGTAGCAATAGCTTCTTCTGTACGCACCGTACGACGTCTCTGGGGATGCGAGTTATCAATGAGAGTAAACGTGGTGCGAAAATGTTCCATGGCTAATCGAATTAACTGCTCTGATGGACGATTTTGACGACGATAAAATGGACGTAGTGCGCGATACGTATTCCGCACAGAACTATTATTTTCGAAATAGAATTGCACTATTTGCAAGCGTTGTTCAGGCGTGAGTCTATTCATGATGAATTGCCAAACCAAACTGAGAATAAATCACTTCTCAGCTGTTAAATCGGTCGCCATCTTTAACAGTAATACCAACTCAAAGTTCTATACCTCTAAAAAAACGGTTAATAATAAAACAGATACCTTATGAGGTGCCTACCTAACTCCGTTTTTATTATTTCGAAGTGAGAAATAAAGTGAGAAGCAACTAAAATTGTACAAAAGTTGAAAATACAAATACAGCAGCAATAAAATTTAATTTTTTCAGGAAGTCGCAGGTTTTTAATTAAAATTTCAGCTCAGCAGATATTTAGGTTGAATGTAATCGAAAGTATTCAGTGCTAACGTATTCTAGAAAAGTTTTCATAGGTTTCCATATATAAATTCAAAATTACTAACGGGATATAGATATGTACATCTATACTAGAATATATACACATAATCTATGCAAATTGCAAAATGTCGCTCAAGAATATAGGAAGTTCGAATAAGTAGACCCGATTAATGTAATCACCATTTCAATATTCTCTATCAATTATCCCTCGAAGGATAATGAACGCATCACATTCCAAATTTTTTCAGATAGCCTATCTCTGCTATAATATTATTTTGATTAATTCGTAAAAACATATAAAAAAAATGTTATGTTAAGCTTTAAATATTTTATATTTACAAGTGGCATTATATGAGCACGATAACTATATAAATTCTTTTTCCTATATTAATATAGTCTATTTCTTTATATCTATAGGTAGCTATACATTAATTTTCTTTTCTCACTTATATGCCCGTTTATATTGTAACTAAAAATCAATATATAAATGAATAATAACAGACTAAATGGAAAATTTTTTTTATAATTAACGTTTCACTACATATTGCAAGTGTAAAATATAGCTTTGTCAAAATTAAAAAATTAAACCTGTTAGATATCACTGATCTTTATTTTCGTTGAAGTTCTGCTTCCTTGAATTTGAGACTCCAATTCTTCTATCTCGTGTGAAATTACGTCAAACATGATATTCCATCGTTTATACGCTTTCAAGGTCGAATAAACAGTTGGTGAATATTTATCGAAGTGTGCAATGGTGCACTCTACACGCCAAATTGAGAAAAAGGACGAATATTTCGTAGATGAATAACTCTGTAACGTGATAGCTTTTATATCTATGGTCAGTCGGCCTCTTTTTGTCATCAGGTGAGTATAATACCTAGGTACATGTCTGCCTTGCAAGATGAGACGAGGTCATTAATGAAGATTTTAATCAAAAATATCAAGGAAATAAATGAATTCGATGGAAAATACGGGTATTGCATGTACTATTTATGCACAGCGTATCTATGAAAACCAGTGTTGCCAACTCTGGTGTAGAAAATCCACTAGATCTGTTCAACTTTTCTACTAAAAATTCCACTAGATCAGTTTGATCTCCACTAGAAAATACGAGTTTTTGTTGAAAACTTACTAAACTCACAAAATAATTGAAAATGAATCAGTGATATATTTGTTTGTTTGCGAAGGTAAAAAACATGAATACGCTGCTAAAAACTTATCAAAGAAAATTGAGGGATATATCATTAAATTCACATAACACAATAATATATAGAAATACAGGTATAGCAAGCAAATAACAGAAAAACTAAGGAAACAAGTAGTGTTCTATTCAGTGAAGTAGCTTTAAATAGAGAGTAAAACTTTTAAAACTACACTCCAACAGGAAATTACTGTAGATCGTATAATTATATACCAGATAATCAACAAATGAACAACAACAAAAAATAAAACTAATACTTTATGGTAGGATAATTATAAAGAAGCAATATGAGAACAGGTAATTGTAAAATGAAGAGTATTACCTATTTCACATAAAACGAAATGAATCTCCCACTAAATAATTTTCTTTCAATTTAGAAATTATGGCCTTGTATGCAAACATTAGTCTACTTAAGAAAATAAAATACAGATATTTCAACCTGAGCCTTCTACTGTATTACTAAATATATATTTCTGATATAGCACATTTTTATATTTCACTTACATCCTTAACTATACATAGAGTATAAGAAAAAAATCCAAATTAGACCTATAATAAAGGAAAATAAACACATCTAATAACAAATTGGTCTAAACCTAATGTGTCATTTTCTGTATACTTACACAACAGAAACAGCAACTTACAGCAAATTGTTACATCTTTTGCCGATTTATTTTGACCACTAGGAGAGAATCTTGTAGCTGATCCGTCATTCATGATAAAGCAATTATTGGTTTTTGTAGCAGAAGAAATCGCCACCAAATAGAAATTTTCTTTCCATGGTTTAAATAACTTTTGCCAGTAATCTATCTCAATATTTTACTCAGGTGGTGAGTAGAAGCAGAACAAGTAGATTTTCTTATTATTAGCATATTTTTAATGGATAGAGCGATTATCTCGATATTCGAAAACTTAGTATAATCTAGTAAATTATAACGTTTTAAAATTAAATCTAGTAAATTTAACGTTTCGCTAGCACGAGTGGCAAGCTTCTTCAGACGTCGTTCCATTTCTGATTCTGGAAGTGGACTCAGAAATGGAACAACCTCTGAAGAAGCTCGCCACTTGTGCTACTGAAACGTTAGGAAGAAATTCCAACCGACAACGGCCCTTAGACCCGAACCAGGACAGCATTAGTTCCTGGGCTAGCCTCGAAAGCCTCAACCAATTTGTATATATTATTATCATAAAAATAATTTTTATACCTTTATTTGATATCAGCGATCTTGCATTCCATTGTATTGAAAACATATTTTGCTTTAAATAATGAGTCAAGTTTATTTTTTATGAAATCTCTATAAGAACCATCTTCAAATTTTGATACAGAATTACTACAATTAGGGCCGGATTTAAATTTGTGCCGCCCTGGGACACTGAAGAAAATACCGCCCTGGGGCACTGCAGAAAATGCCGCCCTATGACTCAAATTTTATTTTAATAGTTTTGATATCTTATTTTTTAAGAATTAGAATAACTAATTGATTGCAGGAAATTTATTATGTATTATATATTATTTACCATACATTATGTTTTATTATTAGTTAATTATATATTGTAGAGAAAATTTTTTCTCACTTTACAAATTTTGCCGCCCTAGAAAATTTGCCGCCCTGGGCACTAGCCCCGACTGCCCCTAGTATACATCCACCATTGACTACAATCTTTAAATATCGAATTCAGTGAATCATATAGTATGTAAGATAATTTATAATTAATCTTATATACTCATCTTAATTAATAATTTCACTGATCCTGCCGACTGACTCTATACAGACTCCGTTCCTGGATGTGGAAGGTATACTTTTAATTATATCCAAATGTTTTTTTTAAAGCTAACTTTGAATTGGCTGATAATCGTTATTTCGGGATTTTATGACTTGTTTGGGTAATTTTGTATGTAGATCGATCAATGTATTGTGTTTATAAGAAATGTTATCATGCGCCATTTCTCTTTTATTTCTTCTGGTTTGATAACTCTGGGTATACATTTCAGTCATACAATACAATTACCCTTACAATAAACACATATAGGTATAGAATTTTCAATACAGTGATTTTCTCCACATCTCGGACCCCGTTTCCACATTGATCTCCACACCACCCTCTGAACAAATGGGGAAACAACCCTGACAAAACTGAAATACTTACATTAAGTTGTAAGAATTAACCCTTCAATGTAATCAATAATGGGGTAGTTCGAAAAAAGTGAAGGTGCTCGTTTATTGTTTTTCTCGTTGATATTTTGACATCAGTAATATCGAATGAATCTACTGACGATTGCAGTATGGACGTTTTTAATTCATCCACTGATATATTTGAGCCGATGCCTTTAAAACCCCTTGCCTGCGAATTAGTAGCTGAGGAATGAGTGTTTCTAATTTATTTGAAGCAAAGAAGTCTGATGACAAAAATTTATTTGCACTTTCAAATGGTCTTAAATTAATTTAATACGATTTTTTTCGCTTTGCTCAATTGCTATTATATTGGTAGATAAAGAAGAATATTAAATTACCTACCGATAACGGATGAAGATTTCCAAAGTTTTCATATTGATTTTCTTGATTAGCTGTAAATGGACAAATATCTGGTAAGGAGTATGGAGACGTATTCCTTCTTTGCGGTGACTCTAGGATATTACAATTCAATTCATTGTAATTCAGAACTGGTGAATAAGAGTTGTTCTGCGAACTAGAGGTGCTAACATGAAGCGAACTCACCGGACTATTAATTTGAGTATCTAAATTTACCGCAACCAAGTCTTCAACATCATTATTCCAAATTATTCTGATTGAGTTTAAATCACTTGAATCGTACACATCTCCCCCTTCATCAGGTAGCTCAGTCTTTGAAGTCATTAAATTTTAACGCCGAATTACAACCCAAAGAATTAAAGTTTTCCGTATAGTTTATGAATTATAAGATAAACACTGAGACACCAAACAACACCTGCAACCGTTGTGAAATCTGCCTCGCACTAAATTATGTTATCTACAGTTTGTTATAATCCATAAACATAATCCATAACATATCATTAAAAAAAAAATCGCTGGTCTCCGTAGCTCAGTCAGCAGATCATCCGACTATGGAGCGGTAGAACTCGGGTTCGAGCCCCGCTGAGGGCATGGGTGTTTGTCTATGATTTAAGTAGTTTGAATAATAATGATATATGCTGGGTAATTAATGTATATTGATTACAAGCCCAATGCTCGTTCGGAAACGGCGTTAAACTGTAGATCCTCTGAATTAAAAAAAAACAAAAAACAAAACATTAATAATAAACACAACAATGCCTAAATCGAAAAACAAATTTAAGAAAATAATCAAATATAACAGGTTAATAAATTATAATAGCTATTCAGCAAGAGCTATTACGAAATCATAAATACATTTGGGAGCAAAATATATTATATTTACAATTATATGTTTGAAACGAACTTAGATAATTTTTGCTTGAATAATTTAAGGTCACTAATTGTTTTTATGGAGCTAGGCAATTTATTAAAAACGTTGAATCCTTCATAAAATATACTATTCCTATGTTTGGAAAGCTTACAAACTTGTATGTAGAAATTGTCAGCATTTCTTGTATTATAACTGTGCACATCACTGACACCTGTTACATCTTTTATTATTCTCTATGGGAACAATTTGTGTTTGATTTTAAATATAAATATATATGTAGCAAAAAGTATTCTCTGTTTGACTGACATTAGTTCTAAACAACTATGCATAATTTGGATTGGAGTATACCTATAAAATTTCAAAATTGTAACTGTTAAGTTTTTTCTTCACTCACTCCCAATAACAGAGTGGAACAATATTCGAAGTGTGGAATTATTATTGACTTAAAGAGCAATAACTTCATACCTATCTGTCATCAGATTTTTTCCTATTCTTTTGAGAAAGTTGATTTTCTTTCAGATTTTAGACGATATGAAGTCAACATTATCATTGAAACTCAATTTCCCATCTAACATAAAAAAGTATTTCATAAGGTTTTATGAAATACTTTTAAACTCTTTCAATGCTCTGGTTTTCAATTTCAATACTTATATTTTCGTAACTAATTTCCTTTAGAATTTTATTTGTACCAAAAACTATAAATTTAACTTTGTTACATTCAGCGATAAACTGTTATCGCTTAGCCTTTCATTCATTGCTGCCAAGTCTCTATTGATCCATTCTGTCATAGTTTGGATATTAACATAAATCATTGTATCATCTGCGAACAACCGTACAGACCTTTTTTTACTTAGCATTTACTTATCATTTTGCAATTCACTACTCTGCTCAAATCTAGTAAGCCCATAATATCACATCGTCCTAATTATTATCAATTTTCATAATTCCCAGTCGTTCGTTAAACCGGGCCAATCAAAATGACATTAAACCTTCCATTCTCTCATAAACGGCCTGCTATGTTAATAATGAGAGCCGAAATGACGCGCCTACAATGAAGGAGGAGGAAACTCGAAAAGCAATAAAAATAGAATTAATATTATTTTCTCAGTTTTATAAATGGCGTACTGCCTCTTGCATGCTTAAACACCACCCCTGCGAACTGCGGAGTCGGACCAGGAACTTACTTTACAGAATGAAATGGAAATTGAGTTTAGACTTTGAGGGTAGCCAGCTAAGGGAAAAACATTATTACGTGCAGCCGTCAAAGGATATAAAGAGTGGCCTGAAGACAGATACAAGGGTCGAAATAGACCAGTTAGAAATCCTTAAACATGTTTTGGAAATATAAATTAATTTTCTTTTCGGAATATATTGGTTGATATTTCGTCTGCTTTATGTGAGCAACCTTCTATATTCCGTCAAATTAACCATATTCCATGATTTATATTTGTCAGGTTGTAAATCTCATTGTATTGTTCTAATTGTTCTATTTATTTTACCTTCATATAGTTCTCAAGAGTGCCAATTTGACATTAAGCTGGGCTAGATGATAAATTAAAAAAGTGAGCAAACAGTTTTTAATTATCCCTTATCGTTTCGTAATTTTGAGAAAAATAACGACATTCTCTCTCAATTTAGCATAATGATGAATAATTAAATATAGAAAATGTATTTATAAGCATAAGTGACTCGAAAACAATTGCACATATAAGTTCTTTATTCCCCCAACAGGTATAATATCTACCCAATTAGAGAAAATAATAACATAATGTATAATATTTGATAGTGTTGGCGTTTACTTGATGTAAATCCATTATAATTGAATATAAACCTAAATTCAAACACTTGAATTTATGATTCACACTTTATTGACTACATAGTATGACGCGTTTCGTTGTTACAAACGACTTCTTCAGATGCTTACAGAATAATTATTCTGTAAGCAATAATTATTATATAGAAAAATATATCAATTAAACTTCAGGTTTATTTAGCTTTCAATTGTTTTTTCAAGAAGTTAATAATCATAATAATATTCATTTTAGCAATAGGTATTACAAAATCATATATACATTTAGGTTCAAAATATATTATTTACAATTATATGTTTAAAACGATCGTAGCTAATTTACGCTTAAATAATTTAAGGTCACTAATTGTTTTTATGGAGCTAGGGAATTTATGAGATGCGTTGAATCCTTCATAAAATATTCTATTCTATGTTTGGAAAGCTTACAAACTTGCATGTGGAAATTGTCAGCATGTCTTGTATTAAAACTCTGCACATCACTGAAACATCTTATATTTTTTATTATTCTATATTGGAACAATTTGTGTTTAACTTTAAATATAAATTTGTATGTCGCAAAAAGTATTTTCTGTTTGACTGACATTAGTTCTAAACAATTAAGTATGCTTTGAATTGGAGTATACCTATTAAATTTAAAAATTTTTCGCATAGCTTTATTCTGTAATTGTTGAGTTTTTTCTTTAATAAATCCCAATAACGTAGTGGATCGATATTCGCAGTGTGGCATTATTATTGACTTACAGGGCAATAACTTCATAGATGTCGTCAGATTTTTTCCAAATCTTTTGAGAAAGTTGATTTTCTTTGAGATTTTAGATGATATGAAGTCAACATGTCCATTGAAACTCAATTTCTCATCAAACATAACGCCTAAGTATTTAACAAGTTTTACCCTTTCAATGTTCTGGTTTTCAATTGTAATATTTATATTTCCGTTACTACTTACCTTTAGAATTTGATTTGTACCGAAAACTATAAATTTAGACTTTGTTACATTTAGCGATAAACTGTTATCTCTTAGCCATTCATTTATGGTCTGAATATTTTTTTACTAACATAAGTAATTGTATCATCTGCGAACAATCGTATAGAGCATTTTTTTTACATGCAAAACAATATCATTAATGTGTAAGGAGAATAGCAGTGGACCTAAGACCATACCCTGAGGTACGCCAAAATCAACTCCAATGCTCTCCGAAATAACACCATCGAACTTAACTTTTTGAGATCGCAAATGTAAATAAGAATTGAACCATTTGTTTACTAAACCTTCAAAACGAATTTTATTCAGTTTTTTCATCAGCAATGATCTACATAAAGTTTCGAATGCTGTTTTGAAGTCCAATAATACTACAATCACTACTTCTCCTTTCTCTATAGATCTATACCATTCCTCACATATGCTCAATAGTGCTATCTCACAGGAGGAATTTCTCTTGAAACCTGATTGTAAGTCAGAAATAACTGAATGTTTTTCGCATAATTCCAGAACCTGATTTTTAACTACTAGTTCTAGAATTTTTCCATATGGTAGAAGAAGATTTATAGGTCGAAATTCCTCCAATTTGACAGTGTCACAAATTTTAGGCACTGCTATTTGAATGAATATTTTCATTCATCTGGAAAGATTCCATGAGTCAGTGATGTGTTTATCAATGTATTATGTATCAATGTATTAATTGAATGTATTTACCATTATTCATTTTAGTTTTATGTGTAGGTACTCCGTTTTTAGAGTATTTTCATTCATATTATTAATTTTAAATGACAATTTTTCAAATTCAGAAGTTTCAAAAAACATCAATGAAATTCTAATTCGAGGTATCAATACTGTTGGTCATAAATTTTTTCATTACTGTTGTTTATGTTCTATAGAATCCCATATGGTACAAATAATTAGATATTATAATTGTTTTCAGTTCATGAGTGAATGTCAATCCCTTGAAATAATTCTCAATGAGTAATATATATCAAGCAATTATCTCCTTATGATCTTGTTGAGATGATTGGCCATGATGAAAGCCGGTTCTCTATTACACCAAAATTTGATATACTTACTTGACTCTGCCATTTAGAGTTGATTAAATAATGAACCCTCTTCGCCCACATGTAATGGAGACCATCTTGAGCATGATAGTGTAACACGAGGAGGACATTCTGAAAATACTGAAAAGAATGAATCATGTGGACCTGCCCCAATTTGATATGCCCACAATACAAATTGGGAAAATATGTAGTTCTAAAAATCAAATGAAATTCATTTCACAGAAATCACGTTGTGAATAAAATTAACTCAGTTATGTAATATATTGTTGAAAAAAAAATTGTTTCCTTAATAAATTGACATTGTGAGATGTATACGAGGTCTGTTCATAATAAAAGATGAATTTTTAATTTTCGCGGGCTGTGCACATTCGAATGTTTTTTTGTTATGTTGCTATACATACGTTTCTTGAATGTTGACATTATCAGACATTTTGAATAAGTAGTTACAGAATAGTATATGTACAGAACTTCAAATTGCAATAAAACAACGATGGATCATTCGATTGATAAGAACTTTTTTTATTCGAAAGATCATCTTGTGGCATTACATTTTAAATATGATTTCTGGCATACGACCGCCACGGCTGGCTCGGATGTAGTCCAATCTGGACATCCTATTTTCGATGACTTTTTCCAACATTTGTGGCCGTATATCGCAATAACACGGCGAATATTGTCTTCCAAATGGTCAAGCGTTTGTGGTTTATCCGCATAGACCAATGACTTTACATAGCTCCACAGAAAGTAGCCTAGCGGTGTTAAATCACAAGATCTTGGAGGCCAATTAACAGGTCGAAAACGTGAAATTAGGCGGTCAACAAACGTGTCTCCCAATAAATCGATTGTGGCACGAGCTGTGTGACA